CTTAAAACTCACGCAGGGCGCGTGTGCATGTGTGCCCAAGATCCCGAGAGGAGAATGGAGGAGAAGGGATTGCGGCATTGCCATTCCCCCCGGGGGGTGATTTCTCGATTTCTGTCTCTATGTCTCTCTCTGTCTGTCTGGCGAGCGCACGCGCCCTGCGAGCACCCCGGCCCCACCATGAAAAAACCCTCCAAAAAAAAAAAAAAAAAAAAAAGAACACCCTCAGAAGTTGCTGTGCTGAGACACTTAGAAGATGAATCGCTTTCTTTCTTCTCCTTCCTTCCTTTATAAGAATTATTTTAGGGACCAGCAGGTGGTGTGGTGGTTAAAGGGCTGGACACTCCCACATGGCCTATCACGTTTGAGTCCCAGACCTGGTGGCTTGCTTTCTCACTATCCCCCTCTCTGTGTGTCTCTCCCTGGTCAAATTAAAATAAATTAATGAATAAATAAAATTTAATAATAATTAATTTTATTAATAATTAATTTTATTTATTCATTTAAATTTGAGGGACACAGAAAGAGAGACAGAGAGAAAGAGGTAAAGTGAGAAAGTAAGTCACTGGATCCAGGACTCAAACCATGATCAGCCATGTGGGAGTCCAGCATCCTTAACCACCAAGCCATCTGTCATTCCCACTTTTATTTATTTTTTTTAAAAGAATTATTCTATTTGATTTTATTTATTATTATTATTTTTTAAAATTTGCTATAGGGCACACATACACACATACAGCAAGAGAGAGAGGGAGAGGGAAAGTGAAAAAGCAAGCTGCCAGGCATGGGACCTGAAACGTGGTCGGCCATGTGGGAGTTCAATGCCCTAAACACCATGCCACCTGCTGGCCCCATAGACTGCTTCTATATTTTAGCTCTTTTTCAGGGATGGGGAGTAAAGGAGGAAATGGCAAGCCCGACCTGAGTGTCTCCAATAACCTATTTTTGTTTTTTTCAAGAGAGTCTTTGAAACGTAGGGTAAAGGATTCTGTTACCTCCAAGTGACAAGTTTAACTACACACATTTTATCAGTTCCCATCACCCTTCATATCTTGGTAGGACTCCAATCTCAAGGGCAATAATTATAGGTGGAACTTTGCTCCCAGTACTCCTGGGGCTAAGGAGCACCCAGAATCTTGGAATTTGGTATAGAACCCAACCACCCATTTTGGTCAATTCTATATTCTTTCCAACCACCTCTGACTGAAATTATTCATAAGAACTGATTTGCTCTTCTGTATATAAAAAATAATACAAATAGCAAAAAAAAAAAAAAAAAAAGAAAAAGAAATGAAAAAGGAAGGAAAGAAGGTAGAAAGGAAGGAGAGAAAGGAATGAGGGGAGGTCAAGTTATCCCAACCAGATCAGCAGCCTGCCACTTCCTCTCCACTAGAGGCCTGCAAAGATCTTACTGCGTGTAAGTCCAACTAGAGAGCTCTCCTCAGCTTCTTTTTAAATGAGACAGCTGGGCCTCAGCCTTATTTCCACAGTGGCCACTTCCTTGCGCAGGGCACTGGCATGGTTCCTAGCTAGCCACAAGGTGACAGAATGACCATCTGTCTCAGAGCACTCCACTAGGCTCCACCTCCCCCCCAAATCTCCACATTCTTGGCATGTCCTTGTCCCTTTGAGGAGATTAAAATGCCATGTTTCCTTTGAGCCTAGGAAATAAGGGAAGGGGCACTTAGAGGGGAAAAAAGAAAAGATATTTTGATAGGGGGGAAAAAAACCCTACCACTTATTTTGTAAGTACACCCCCAACTGGCTTGGTAAGCATGTGCTTCTAAAGGCACCAAAACCAATTAAGGGGTAAATCCAGGTGTCGAAGTCCTCACAAAGCCCAAATCAGATACTGACACGTTCCATACCATTCTAGAAGGGGTAGCAGGCTGGCACAACTTGGTCCCAGATATCTGGTAGGGGCTAGCATGCGACCTGAGGATCTGATGTGGCTCTGCCCTCTCTGACAGCAGCTTCACCCAACCTCACCAGGCCTGTTGCTCTCCTCCTGGCAAACAGGAGCACCGTTCGGCTTAAGTTACCTCTCAGTGAGACGGAAAAGAACAGGAGAGAGGCAAATTTGCTTTAACACCTTCATTAAAAACATTATGTCAAGGGGCCAGCAGGTGGCATGGTGCTTAAGGACGCTCGACTCCCACATGGCTGACCGCAGTTCGAGTCCTGGACCTGGCGGCTTGCTTTCTGACTCCCCCTCCCCCCTCTCTCTCTCTGTCCCCCTCTGGTGAAATGAAATAAAGCTAAATAAGATCATCTTTAAAAACTTATATCAAACCAGCTAATATGCTTTGGTATTGAAGTTGGGGGTGATAGACTATGTAGGAAATGACCAAGACGAGACATATAGAGCAAGTTCCAGCCACTGTATCTGCAGGCCTGCAACGTCCTGGGTCCCCTGAGAATGTGTACATCTTCAGCATCAAAGTCCTATTCTTTATCAGTGACAGCCTAACCCAGTCATGGCCACCACCTGGAATAAATGGTGCAGTGGGAGAAACGAAGCTGTTTGTAGACCTGGCCATCAGCAGCTGCAGGTCAGCTCCGAAGTTCTGCTGCCCGCTAGACCGACCTCAGTTGAGAACATCCCCAAGAAATCTCACAAGTGAGTGCAGTTGAGATGGAGGTTCCAGGCTTATCCCTCACGGGTATCCGGAAAGATCTGGGTAGTGGGTTCTGCTTTGCACTCGTGTGATTATGGTTAAAGGAGAAGAAACGTTGAGAAGTCACAACGGTTGCTTGTGGTTACAAGATGAACTGGTTTCATTTCTGGAAAGTACCCCTCTCAGATTTGGGGAACAGAGGGAGGGAAATAAGACAATCAGCTCCCCTATCAGAGGAGAGACGCTCATATCATGACAGGCCATGACAAAGCAGCAGGCTGCTGGGGCACCGGCTGGGTGGCTGCAGGAGGGTGGAGTGTCCTGTTTACAACACCACGGGGTATTATCGGCCCATCGCATGCAGCAGCCTCCACAGCCCAACCACCTGGCGAAGCACCCTGGCACTGGGCCAGGCCATTTCACCATGCAGCTGAGCAGTGGCGGATGCTTTGGTTCTTGGGCAACAGCAAATGGAAAAAACAAAACAAAACAGCACATGCTGGAGATAAGAAGCCTTAGGTGCTATCTTCCCGAGCACTTGGCTCTGCCCCTCAATTGCTGCACTTGCATAGGTTTGGGGAGAGGGGGCTATGAGTGGAGAGGGCCAGTAGTCCAGAGTCTGCCTACTGAGGGACAGACAACAGGAGAGAAGGCACACAAGTGGTAGACAAGAGGCTGAACCAAGAGTGGAAGAAGGGCCTGGCACTCCAAGCAGATTTCAAGTACCCACCATGAGCCAGCTCTGTGATAAACACTGGTGATACGGAAAGAACATGACAAGAAGCTGCTGATGAACTTGAAGTGGGCAAGGCTGGTGCAATCAACCCAAAGTGCCAGGCTACCAGGCACAGCCCCTACGGGCTACCCCCTAGTAGATGCCTGTTCAGAAGGACCACCGATATATCTCGGCTGCTCCCTTGCTGGAAATCAGCTCAGGTCTAACCACAGCAGCACACCCCTGCCATAGGAACCTGAAGGAGAAGGGTGACAGCTCTTAGAAAAAGGGCAGGAATGGGGCTAGGGGAAGAAGGCAGACAGCAGCCGATGCAGGAGGAGAGGTGCTGGGGCTGCTCTTCTCAGTTTGGCCACAAAGAGATTGTGGGGGAAGGGCTTAGCGATATATAAGGAGAAAGCAGCCCCTGGCCAGTGGGTTCTGGTTGGGCATCTGGGGACTATTTCAGTATTTTGGGGGCAAGGTAAGAGAGAGAAGCCTGGGAAATAAAAACAAGGCCACTCTCTACTCATCCTAGTCACCCCAAAATACCCAAGAAGGACTACAGAAGAAGAGAGACAGGCAAAGAGATCTTATACATGGGAAAATAAAAAACGTAACAACTAGCTGGTTCAACAAACAAGCTCTGAGTCATTTTCTCAAATCGTCAGGCTTTGAAGCATTACTCGCACTAGTCTTCTCACCTCTCCTCCCAGAGGAAAAAATAACTCTTATTATAACAGAAGCTGCACACATGTGGGAGGAAATAAGCAAATGCAGATGAGCAAAAAATAAAAAATAAAACCTACATGCACCTTGCAGTGTAGATCTGTCACCATGCACATACATGCGCATAGATATTCCTAAAAAAAAAAGAGGTCATACTATGCACACCTGCCTACAACATGTTTTTTTTTTTTTTTTTTTTTTCAGTCAGTGATGGTCACTTAGTAAGGAGGAGAAGCAGGCAAGGCCAGGGTAGCCCAGCAGGCTGGGGCAGGGCAGTACAGTAGGACATTGAGGGTACGGGCCCTGCCCCCTCTTGTCCCCTTGCTGTGATGCAACACTTCTGCTGGAGGGCAATGTGAATCTGGTTAAGAACAAAGTAAAATGGGGATGCAGAATTTCTTACCATTTCCTCAATAAGAGATTTGCAGTTAAGGAGGGGAAGTTCCTCCTGGCAGCTTCACAGGATTATTTTCCTATTTCAGTATGTGTGTTGGGATTACACAGTGCAAGCAGTCTTCTGAGCTCCCTGTGCTCCAGTGTCACTTAACTGCTTAACTCAGGGACGTGCGGGTTTTGGAGGGAAGTTGTGGTGAAGCTGAAATCCCCAATATGACTGTACAAGAGTTAGAAGCCCTCCTTGGAAAGCCCAAGGAGACCCCACCCATCCCAGCTGAGAAAATTAAACCCCGTGCTTTGAACACCTCTTCTGACACCAAGTAATAGCTACTTTCGACCTTATCAGGAAGAATAAAGTAGACTAAAAAGAAAGGAAAAAGAGTAACATGATACAATCGCTATCAAGGCTTATTACCCAAAGAGAAAAAGAAAATGATGCCACCATCATGTATCACTTAGGGACAGGGATGCGTTCTGAGCAATGCCTCAGCACTGTGCAAAGAGCAGAGTATACTCACACACACCTGGATGTGTAGTCTGCTACCCACCGAGGCCACAGAACACCCTCAGAGGCCCACTGCTGTACATGCAGTCTGCTGTGGACAGAAACCTTGTCATCCGGCTCATGACTGTCTGTATACGGGGGAAGGGCTTCTCCGCCAGGCCCTCAATCATCTACTGACTTGCTATTCAAGTGTGCAGCTCAACTGAGAGCCATTGAGAGCATTTCTGGCTGTGTGTCTGACTTCCCAAGATGCAGACCACATCTGTAGGCAGCTGGAAAAATGGGCCAAGAGAAACCCTTCTGGAGCTGTCATTGTGGGAAAAACTAAGGAATAGGCTAAGTCTCTGTATCAGCCAGGAGGAAAAGGACGATGCCAAAGTGTATATAAAAAGGGTAGATAGACAGCAGTTGCTTAGACATTTGTTCAACTCTCAAGAAGCTGCAGTTGGAAGGAAAGGAAGTGGTATGAACTTTTCACCTTTTATCTGAATTCTCTAAAGAGGAGTTCTGTAGGATTTCAACATTCTTAAATCAAAACATTAGCATGTTTTGGATTGGAGCATACTTTCCTTTGGGATCTACATGGCCTTTGCAAGAATAGCATGAATAGTACATGGCCTAACTCCCCCCACTCCAAAAAAAAAAAAAAAAACCCTCCTGACCCCTTGGTTCTTTGGGAGTGATAGACTGTGATAGACTTCCGGGTGGCCTATAAACTCACAGGACAGGTATAAACCCTTCAGGTTGGCACTTCTCACAGCAATCTGATTCCTATCAAGTAGAAATCATCAAGTCCAGTCAGCTGTTAAGTAGTCATTTAAGATAAGTGAGATGAGGAAAGAACCAGAGATTGGAGAAAGCCATTGACAATAAATCCTGTGAGAGGACAGCTGGGATCAAAACTGTGTCCTGCTTTCTCTTCAAAATATGTGCACTCGGGAACCAGCAGTTAGCGTAATGGCTATGTCGCTGGACTCCCACGTAGTCGACCGCGGTTCGCGTCCCGGACCCGGTGGCTTAAAACTCAACGCCGGGTGCGTGTGCGTGCGTGCCCAAGATCCCGAGAGGAGAATGGAGGAGAAGGGATTGCGGCGTGACCATCCCCCCTGGGGGGTGATTTCTCGCTTTCTGTCTCTCTGTCTCTCTCTGTCTGGCGAGCGCACGCGCCCTATAGCGAAAATCTCTCCAAAAAAAAAAAAGTATATATGTGCACTCCACACACTTCCATGAATATTCCTTCGGAGGAAGGGACGGAGCTTCCAGGTTGTCACAGATGGAGTGGGGACACGACGCACTCACATGTAGAGAGATGAACTATTTTCTCCAAGGTCACAGAGTAAGGTGAGGCCATTTATTCCACAAACAGCAGACTTTTGAAAGTATATTCCCCACCCCTGTGTTTCATTGTCAGACAACCATACCATGGCCTCTTGCCTGCCTTGGTTCAAGAACTGCTCTGTGGTTGGAAAAGGCTCTGTTCCCTTCCCTTGCTAGGAACAGGATGATCACACCTGGGTCTCAGAAACACTGTTTTACCCATTGGACATAGTTGGGTCAAGAGAGGAAGTGGACAATTAGAAAATGAGAGATGGGGGACCAGCAGGTGGTATGGTGGTTAAGGGTGCTGGACTCCTACATGGCTGACTGCAGTTCGAGTCCCGGACCTGGCGGCTTGCTTTCTCACTTCCCTCCTCTCTCTTGTGCATGTACTCTGTCTCTCTCTGGTCAAAATGTTTTTAAAGTAAATAAATAAAGGTAAATAAAAATAATTTTTTTAAAAAAAGAAAGAGATCCTGACACCAGCAGATGCTGTAATGGTTTATGTCGCTGGACTTCTACATATTGGATTATTGTTTGAGTCTTGGACCTGGCAGCTTAAAACTTATGCTGGGCACCTGTGCCTCTGTGCCCAAAGTCCTGAGAGGAGAAGAGAGGAGAAAGGATTGTGGCGTGGCCATTCCCCCAGGGAGTGATTTCTTGCTTTCTCTCTCTCTCAGGTGAGCACACGTGCCCTATAGCAAAATCTCTCTCTGAAAAAAAGAAGAGTTCTAGCCAGCAGGTAGTGGTGGTTAAGGCAGATGAATCCCATGTGACCAATTACGTGGCTCAAGTCCTGGCCCGACAGCTTGAAAAACACCAGGAGCATGTGTGTGTGTGCCTAAAGTCCCAAGAGAAGAATGAAGGAGGACTGCAACATGGCCGACCACCCAGGGAGGTAATTTCTCACTATCCCTCCTGTCTCTCTCTTGTGAGCACATGCATCATATGGCAAAAATCTTTTTTTTTTTTTT